TCACCCTCCCTGTACCTGTCTGCAGCCTGGGCAGCCCTGCTCCTGCCCTCACTGTGCAGGATGTTGCAAAGGGGCAGATGATGTGGCAGGGCTGCCGGCACTGCCTGCGGCAACAGGAAATTAAAGAAAGCACTACTGGAAGATAATGGTGTAGTGGTTGGAGGAAGAGCCCCAGCAGAAAGAGGGATTGTTGCACATCTCCTGTGGGAGTGGAGCTGGCAGGCACAGCCAAGCCACCAGCCCCGTGGACAAGATCATCCGTCCCTGATCTGTTCCTGGAGAAGGATGGAAGCCAGACTCCATCCCCTGCAAGCCCCAGGCTGGGGAGCTCACACCCCAAGCGATGCTCTTCCAGGGGCACGGCACTGCCAGCATCCCATGGGGTCCTGGCCGCCACTGCCCCATAACACTGGCTCCTTGCTTGGTGGGCTCATTCCACTCAGATCCTGACTGGCTCCTTGCAGCCCCCCCAGGCTGCCTCCCCAGATGTGGGTGGGCACTGAACAGGAGCATCATCCCCTGCTGGGGCTTGGGACTGTGGCACTTGCATCCAGTGTGGCTCAGCAGAGCCGGCAGCGGACTCTCGCCTCCTTCAGCCACATGCGGCAGCTCCACCACTGGCACCATCCCTCCCAGATGGCTCTGTGGAGCTGCTAAGCCTCAAAAATGCACTCTTAATAAGCCAGCACCACTTAGCGAAGACAGCAGCTGCCCTGTTAAATCGGAAGAGAGCCTTTCCTCAGGGACAGGGGCTGGTGGCCCCAGGCGGGAGAGAGTGCCTGATCAGGGGACTAAGGGTGCTGAGGTTTGTCTCTGTGGCACAAGTATTGGTCCCCTGCATTGCATGGGGGCATGCCATTTGCCTCTTTGTTCACCATGGAGAGGGCAGCAGAGAGGGAAAGCCCCAGAGAAACACAAAACGCCCCTGTGGTGCCTTGCTGGGAGCATCCCCTGGCTGCTCCTCACAATGCTGCCAACACTCGGGGACCATGGTGCCACTCGGATGGGGCAGTGGGTTTGTGAGGGCTCAGACAGATGCTCCTGCTGGGGCCAGGAGGGCTGAAGGGCAGGACTGGGGCTCTGCCCCACCCAGGGGTGCCAGGAACAGCGCAGCCACTCGATCATCACCCACCTTCACTAAGTCCCACAGCCCGGGTGCTTTACAGGGGAAGTTCAGGGAGCAACAACTGCCAGCAATAAATACACCACATGCTCCCCGCCAGCCCCGTCTGGCCACAGCCAACAACAACATCATTAAAAGCAAAGAAGCCACCAAAAAACATGCAGAAGCTGTTGCCTGGTCACTGATTTGAGCACTCGGTGCTTTTGCAGACAGCTCTGCTGCTGCGAGCAAGCCCCAGAGATGGGCAGGAGTGGCTCTCGGCCCCAGGACATGACCAACATGCGTTTACTGGTGGTGCCTGAACAGAGCTGCCAGGGCCTGGAGTGAGCAGGGGCGCTGGGCTGTCAGCCCTCCCCAGCCATGGAAGCTCTGGGGCTGGCTGCTTGATCAGCCCATCCCCACAATCCCATGGACTGTTTGCTTGCTTTAAATAGGCTTTGAGAATTGGCTTCGCTCAGTTCCTTCCAGGACACATTTTCTTCCTAGAGAAGGACATGGGATGGGCTTGCAGACCTCCTTAGCCCTCCAACACTGCCTGAAAACCACAATAGGGTGAACTTGAGGGCTCTCTGGAGCCTGGAGCCCTGTTATAGCAAACTCTACTTGCGGGCAATGTCCTTGTTCAGCACCAGGCATCGCCCAGGAGAGCTCATCGTCGCTAACTGAGCACTGTGCAGCCAGGTCCCAGTGCCACAAAGAGATGCTGAAACAGAGCGAAACACAGCTGCTGCTCTAAACTGCTGCTGCTGCGCTGAGGCTGTGCCAGGATACGGCCCCTGGCAGCACTGTATCCCCAGTGAGGCCAGGCAGGGCTGCGCTGCCACCTCCCCACAGCCTGGTGCCTGCATGCTCGGCCTGGATAATGTTCAAAGGAAACCTTTCCTGCTGGAAAAATGTGGTTCTATCCAAATCAAAACACTTCACAAAAACCAGCAGTGATGCGACTGACATTTCTTATTAGGGGACGGACACGCTGGCAACGTGGCCTTTGAACAGCTGCAGAAGGAAATGCTTTTTGTCATCATTTGAGAACAACGCAGTGGCAAATGATTGTTTCAATTTAGTTCTTTGGATGCTATGTTACAAAGTGAGCCTGTTTTGGGTTTCGTGACAAAGAAGCAATGGGAGTGAAACTGCTTGTGGCATTTCCCTTCCCTGGGCAGTGGTGGAGGGGCTGGCTCATTCCCCGTGCTGGGGATGCTCCTTCCTACAAGAGCGTCCTGGCACAACCAGCAGGAACAAGTTTGGGTTTTCTCTTCGCCTCCTCCAGGCTCAGTGGGAAAAGACCATTCCAAACTAGCCAGGTCACGGAAAAAGCTGAGGTGGGAGGGATTCCTCCGGTCTGACCAGCGAACAGTGGGGCTGGAGTAGACCCCTCACCCAGACCCAGGCCTGCATTGCTACAGCAACTTTTGGGGGTGCTGAGGGACCCCGGGCATGGCTAGGGGGGTGGGGGTGGTGGGTGCAGGGAGAGATCCTTGCCACCAGCCCAAGCAAGCTCACCCTTGAGAGCTGCCAGAGCAGGACTACGTGCTACTGCCCCTGTTGGGCTTTGCAAAGGCTCGGTTCCTGCCAGCAGGACTGCGCACATGTGCTTTAGTTTAGACCAGCAATGAAAGTGCCTGTGGCACCAGGGGAAAAAACACAGTGGTAAAACACACCAGTCCTGAGCTGCCTGACTGCACCTCCTGCAACGGGCACTGCGTGCCTGGCCCAGCCTGCCCCCCACCTCCAGCATCTCCCACTCAGTCGAGGTTTGGCCTCACTGGGTACCACAGGCTGCTCTGGAGGGGGAGGATGGCATCACCAGGCAGCTGCCAAGTCTTCGTGACCCCAAACCCATCCCTGCATGGGCAAATCACAGGATGGGGAACTCCGGGATAGGAAGCTGCCTGCCTCATGTGCTTAATGCCACCATGCCAGGTATGTGCATGGCACACAGTGCTGGGGACAGCCAAGGTGGTGCCTTCTCTTGCCACACTACCAGCTGGGCTTCACTTCAGGCTACATACTACATACATTGGACTCAGAAAGTGGATGTTGCAAATCTTAGATCCTCCCTCACAGCCTCCCCAGGGCTGGAAGTCAACCTTAAAAGCTTGCTCCAGAGAATCAAGCCTGACAGAGCTATAGCAGCACGGCACAGCCCTGGGAGCAGGGTTTTACCAGGCAAGCAGGGAGAGCATTGAGCTGTGATTCACATCTGCACCGTGGGAGGGCACCCAGTGCAGCTGCTGCCAGCCCTGCTCCACACCCAGCACTGCCGAGCACCCAGGGGTGCCTACATCCCAGACACTACAGTCGGGATGCTGGAGCAGCTCCAGTCTGCCTGTCCCCGGCTGTGTCGCAGCAAAGCTGGGCCAGGTCCTTTGGCTTACAGCTGAGGGGCTGTATGCCACAAGGGTGCTGGGTTCTCTCCTCACCCTACCAAATTCTGCAGCCCCACAACCCTGGCACAGTGAGTGCCTCCTCTGCATGATGAATCCTGCTCCGAGCAGTTGCAGCTGTGGCTTACTGCACAGCTAGGGGGATATAGTGCAGTGTCCTCCAGGGGTGCACTGCACCTCCTTTGCTCCTCCCTGCAGGCAAGGCAGGAGCTGAACCAGCACTCCAAGATCCAGTGCTATTAAAAAAAAATGAGATTTAGAAACAAACAAAAAGTCTCTTTTCTCCCCAGCCCAACACTGGACCTGCCGATGGAGGCACAGGATGGCCTGCAGTGCACCCCAGCTAGTGGGTAAGTGTCCAGTGATGCCCCCAAGGATGCTCGCACCAGGAACCACAGCATCCCAGAGCAAGGCTTCCACACAGCATTGCCAGCTCTGCTTCGCAACTGGGGACAGTGCTGCAGCAGGAGGCTCTAGGGTAGAACCTGAGGCCCAGTCACAAGAGGCAGCTTAAAAAAGGTGAGTGCTCAAGCCTCTTCTGCTCCTTGTGCAGAGCCTCCCCCACACACATACGCCTTCCCCACCTGGTTGCTCTGCATCTTGCAGCATCTTCTGCTCTTAAACCTGGGAGCACACACGAATGTGGGAGTCTGAATTTGGGATCCACAGGTGATCCTGGCTTTAGAACGAGGACTTCAGTGCGTGGCCAGGACCCACATGCCACTTTTGACAGCCATCAGCCATTCCTCCCACTGCAATAAAGCATGCCCTCAACCCAGCGCCAAATTGTGGATTGGCTCTGCAAGCAATGCTAAGATTTAAATCAGTGCTGGCTACAAGCTACCATATATGTGCAATAAAGACATCTGAGGTCTAGGTTGTTTTTTTAAAGCCTTCGTACAGACCACAGCAAGAGCGGGAAATTCCCTCCCTCGATGCCGGGGTGAAATTCACCTCCCAGCCCCTGCCAAGCTCTGGATGCAGAAACAGCAGCTCGGAGGCAGCTGAACGCTGGCAGCTAGAGCTGGGAGAAAGTGACAGGGCTGCAGATGCAGACAGACCAGCCACAGAGCCTTCCGTTTCTTAAACTAATATTTAGACAGGACACATTTCTCGCCCCCACCCCCACCCCCCCATGCGAACAAACTGCACCCTGAGCCGTCCTCGCCGTGTTTGCGTTTCTGCGCAGCGGGACAGTCTCCAAGTATGAAGCAAACTCCCTCAGCAGCCCCAAAGGCCGCCCCAGCACCAAGCAAGAGGTGGGTGGCTGGGGCTAGCCCCGTTTTTCGGGCTGCTCCCCCCGGGGCGAGGGGCTATGCCCCCCGGCCCGGTCCCACCAGGCTCCGGTGGGGACTCCCGGGACCGGGGCTCAGCACCTCCGTGGCGCAGGGTCCTGGGGCTCGCCTGAGGTCCCGGAGGAGCCCCTTCGACCGTGGGTAGGATCCGTGCCAGGCTCGGAACAGGTGCTCTGTCCCCGCCGCGGGGCTTACCTGGACGCCGAGCCGGAGCACAGCGCTCAGCGGCGGCTCCGTGCCGGGACCGGGACACGCGTGGGACCGGGGGCCGCCATGAGAAGGCTCGGCTCGGCACGGCACGCTTGGGTTCAGACCGGCACGGCTCGCTCTGGCTCGGTTCAGCTCTGGCACGGCACGGCGCGGCTCGGCACGGCACGGGGAGGCCGAGACGGGGGAGCTCGGCCACCGCCTCCTCCCCGCGGCGGGGGGCGGGTTTGGAACGGGCCGGCTCCTGCGCCCCGCCCGGGCCCGCCTCCGCCCAGTCCCGGGCTGCGCTGCGAGGCCGCTCCCGGTGGCGGGGCTGCCCGCAGCCTCACGCCCCCACCACCACCTCCAGCATCACCACCACCACCACCACCTCCACCCCCCGCACCGGCCTCCCCCCCGTTGCTCCCCCCGCATCTTCGGGGCCGCCCCGGACCGCGGGGCTCCGAGCATCCCCTCCGCCGGTACCCGCAGCCCCGGCACAGAGCAATTCACGATGAGTCCCGGAGCCGGCTGAGCCCTCGCCCCCCCCCCTCCCCCGCCAGCCCTCGGGACCCTTCGCCTGCTGGAGGTGCTGGTGGAGAGATCTCAGCGTGCTGCCCGAAGCTAAACCCTCCCCCTTTGCACCGCTTTTCCCCCAAAAACGTTTATTGAACTGCTGCTTGTAAGTCACAAACTAACACCCTTCACGTGCAACGCGTTTGGTTTTCATGTTGCACCATTTTATCTAATCCCAAAGGTTCCTTTTCCTTTGTAGTTTTGCAGAAGAGAAAGAGTTCAGAGCAGCCTGCAGACAAGCCCCCCCCCCACCTCCCCCAGCCTCTACCATACACAGCACTTGGGGACAGTGAAGGAGCAGGGTGACAAATACCTAAGCTGCAAGATCCTGGCCCCAGCTGCAGTGATGCTCTATGGCAACTTGGGAAAAGTCATTCCTAATAATAAATAAATCCAGGTCAGTAATACAAAGAGCAATGTCAAGGAATTTAAGTCCTACAAGAAACAACTTTTAATTTAAGGCAAATCCGGGACTCCCGGCTGCTTGATGTGCTGCAGCCCCTCAGCCTGGCCAAGAGCAGAGGGGCTGCAGCTGTCCCACTGTAGCCCTATTTGGGGGGAACCAAGCCCTGGCAGCACCCACAGCTGAAGCCTGCATGCCTCAGGGTTGGGGTGGCCTTGCTGGGGATGTTTCAGAAGAGCCAGGGACACCCCATTCACATCTCTGTCACTTCTCAGCTGTCTCCTACTGGGACAAACACTTCCCCAGCTGCATTCATCACCACATCCTCTCACCCGCCCTGGCCTGCAGGATTGATTTAATTATCCTTGTTCCTCCCCCATTGCTACACAGGTAATGGCAATCTCCTGTGTGATGACCCCACAAAGACAGTTTGGGGAAAAAAAAAAAAAAAAAAAAAACAAAAAACACGCAGAAAGCACCATTGCTTCTCCTTCTCATGGGCTTGTTTATAAAAAGAGAGTGCTTGGTGCTGTTTGCCCTGACAACATTACTCTCCAGAGTTAACAGCTAGTTCGTGGGTACCAGCAGACTGACCTCTCTGTGCTTTTGCTGGATCCTCTCTGCAAAATCCAGTGCACGCCGCAGCACTGAATTTAGAGCTGGGGAAAGCTTTCCAATGTGGGAAACCAGCAGTGTGTACAAATAGGCATTGCCACAAGGCTGCTCAGCTTAATGACTTTTTCCATCGTACAGAAATGTTTTGCTTAAATACTCCCTTTCTCCAGCCCCCCAAAAGTGTCTTTGTGTTTGTTTTCTGGCAGGTTTGGGAAGAAACACGATCCGTGTTTTCCGTTGGCCGTTGTGCAACATGGAGGGCGCAGGCTGGGGCAAGCCGTGAGTGCCGCGGGTGCTGGGGGCAGGCACGTGCGCCCGCACCCCCAGCTGGAGCACCCCTGGCACCTGGCTGCGGGCTGGGAGGGTTCCAGCTTTCCTGGAAACCATTGCACATCACACGGAACAAACAAACAAACAACGACACAGCACAGACCACTTCCATTTTCAAAAGTCATAAAGAAATATCCTGTTTACACAGATATTTGTGGAAAAACACTGGGAAGAAAACAAAGAGCAGAGCTAATTAACTTGCATGTGGGGTGGTAACTTGGCAGCCACAAGGCCAAGAGAGACCTGCTTGCTTTGGGGGACAGATTACAGCCAAGCTAAATGTAAAGGACACCCCCAGGTGTCCTTTTCTGACTGTCACCACCCTGCGATCCCCCAAATACTTACCCAGCCCAGGTGGAAACCCTAGCAGAGCATTACCTTAGGGATATTAGCTTGGGATGAGGGATGCTCGGTGTCTCACACTGCCCGGTACCATGAGTGCTCCCAGGGACGGGCAGGGTGGGCGCAGGGTGCATACATTGAGTCCTCTTCCCAGCAGGGAGGAACACCGTGCCGACACACGTCTTGTCTGCCTTGCCAGCATGCTCACCAAGGCTGACTGCTTTCCGCTGCTGGTTTAGTCTCACTTCACTTGTTTGGCTCAGGGTCCTCCTGAAATCAGCTGCTGGCCTTTCCTAGAATTACACACACACACAAAAAAAAAAAAAAAAAAAAAAAAAAAAAAAAAAAAAACCCATGTTGAGGAGCAGCATGGAGAATCCTTGAAAGCCCCCAGGAAGCATGTGGAGCTGGTTCCAGCAGCATCTCCCATGGCTTTGGCTCCTCTCTGTGCTCTCCCATCCAAGCAGAGCTTTGCCCTGCTGGAAATCAGGATGTTGCATTGTGATGTACAAGCCAGAGATGCAGAAGAGAAAATAAATAAATAAATAAATAAAATAAAGAGCCAAATCTGGCTTTGGGAGGGGCATATATGCCCTTCAAAAGCTGGGGCAGACCCGCCCAGGCACAGACGAAAATACTTGTCAGAACTGCTCTTGGCATGAGGTGCTCAGGGAGGAAATGTCCATAGGAAATTTAGGGATTGGATGTCTAGAGGGGAGAAACTTAACACTCCCCTAATGGCTAGCTCATTCTTTCTCCTGTCTTCCTCCTATTTGTTTTTGCAAGTATTAATACGCTGGGACTGTTTTCTTTAGTGCACGTGGGGTCCAGAGGGTTTCACTGGGGGTCTGGGATCTGGGTGACCTCCCCAGAGTGGTCTACGGAGGCTGGCCCACGGTCACCATGGATCCCCAGGGCTCTGTGACGAATGGTGGTGATGGGTGCTGTGGGGCCAGTGATGCTGCCCAGCTGGCACCCTCAGCCCTGCCACAGTTGCCATGCCATGCAGACCCCTGGGAGCCTTGTGGCCACCTTGACATGGCCAGATGCTCTGCAAGCAGCATCACATGACACTCTCATGGTCTGCAACCAGCAGAAGGCAACAGCTGTCCTGCCAAAATCCCAGTAGCTGCTAAACAAACAACTTAATGCAAAACAGCTTCAATGGAGCAGGAGTAAACGTGCCCGAGAAAGCGTCGAAGACATTACAGAGCCACAGCAAAAGCACATGATGTTGCAAAGGCTTTGCTGAGTGATCAGGAAACACAGCCTGGGACAATTTGCATCTTTTATTTTAACTAAAGTTTTCCTAATGACGTGTGTAGTATGTTTAGTGATACGTAGTTTCCATCTACCCTGGGGAGTCTGCAAAGAGCCCAAATGTCAGTTCTGCAGCCAGTGAGTGCCCGTCCCCACACCTTGTCCTTTGCAGGCTGTGTCTGGCAGGGCTGGTACCAGCCCCTTCTATCTAAAGAGCCAGAAGTCCAGAGAGTAACCTAGTGGGCTCTGGCTTTAGGAGGAGGTTTGGGAGCTGCTACTATTTGGCTTGGCTGCCTCCTCTTGACCAGCCAAGCTATCCTTGATCCACTTGGGTTTAAACCAGCCCCAAGCTGATGCCTTGCAGGATAACAGCAGTCTGGGAGCAGAGCCCAGAGAGTTCCCTCTGCTCCTGGAGTGCTTCCTGGTTGTCGTTTGCACAAGGAGCCTGGAAAGGCTGTGTGGTGGAGCCCAACAGGCACACTGGCCCTGCAGAGATGTGGGGCTGGCAGGGAAAGCAGCCCATCTGCAGCCACCCAGGCAAATATGGGCAGCCTGGCACACCGAGGGCTGCACCTGCCCCATGCTGTGCACCTTCCCTATGCAGCCCCAGGATGCTCCTGGCAGTGTGACCATGTGGTTGCTCATGCCAGAGGTGGGGAGGCCAGGAGCAGCACCCTGCCAAGGCTGGAGGCTTGTATGAGCTGCTGCCACTCCAGATATGAGCAATTGGGATGCGCCCTTGCCTCTTGCTGTCTCTGGGGAGGCACATCCAGGCTTCACTTGTGTGCTCACCTCCTCCATTTGATGCTCCCCAGCCCAGGCAGACTGAGACTGTCCAGTACCAGGAGCTGGAGAAGAAATGGAGCATGCTGGGCTCTTGCTTCCTCCCTGCTCAACGTGATGGAGCCTGGTGAACTCAGTGTGCAACCCAATGGTGTCAGCTGTAGCCCTGGCCAGAGCCCTGGTGCAAGGCACCACGCGCAATGATGTCTAAGACATCTTCCCTGTGCAGATATCTCTGCAGAACCACAAGAATCTCTGGGTTCCCACCTCAGGTTACTGTTCCCCTGGGTTCCCTCTCACAGCCTCACTTTCCCACCAGCCCTCCAGGAGACTACCAAGTTCAGGCTTGATGGCTGGAGGGAGAGGAGATGCTGTGAACCACTGGAATGGAGTGAAAAATTGGGAACAGCCGGGAAGTACATGGTACATAATGTCACACTCAAAATCTACCATGAACAAGTGTCCATAAACACTGAGGGGGAAAATCTAAGCAATTAAGTCATTTTCAATGTCAAATAGCTCATGGACCCCACATTTGGACATGACAGATGAACAAAAACATAGACATTAAAAATTCCTGAAAACTAACAAAGGAACAATGATTAATTTCTCCCTGTTCCAGGGCAATCACATTATATACACACAAAGGAGTCATAAAAATTCCTGGATGACGGAACAAAATCCTTACAGAGCTCCACAGATAAAATACAACCACACTGGAAGGAGCTGGAACAGTCCTCGGAGGGAGCATGCCTTAGGTCGTCTGTTACGTATCTTGCTGGAGAAAACACCTTCCCTGGAGAACATGCCTGTGTCCCAGCTGCGGCAAGGGGACGAGGCCCCATGGTGGAGAGCCCCAGCAGCTGCTGGCATCGCTCCCTGGCTGCACGCATCCTGGGGAGGGTTGAGCTGAGGATGTGGTGGGGGTGGCAGCGCCAAGCACACGTAGTGCAGGTGGAGGAGGGAAGGAAGCAGGTCCTGCGGCAGGTGAGGAGGTCAGCATCTGGCCCTGCTGCTGCCCAGTGAAACCTCCTGGAGCTCTGGATCCTGGTGCCAAGCACTGAGGGCTGCAAGAAAAATGAAGGGATAACGGCAAATTGCTTCAACCCAAGAGGGTTTCATTGTTCAATTAAGAGGAAGATATTCCAAACCAAAACCACAAAGAAAATACCATTAAGAGAGGCCACAGTTTTACTCCGTGACTGTTCATGGGCTTTCTGTGGGATGTTTTTCATCAGAAATGGCTGTTTAGTCTGCAAAATTACTTAAGGAGGGTGCTGAGCAGTGCCAGGGGCGGAGGGGAGTTTAGGGGCTGCCTCTGCACTCCATGGCAGCACAGGCACATACAAAGGAGACCATCCCTCCAAGCACAGCAAGCATCTTCCCTTGGCAGCAAGCCCAGCATGGTGCCCCCCTTGTCCTCCCCTGCCTGCACTCGCAACCATGTCCCAAGTGACCCCAGCCTCACAGGAGGCTGCAGCACAGCTCTGTGCCGCTCCTGGTTCACACCATGCTGCAAAGATGAGGACATTGCTCCCATGTCCTAATGGGCCCTGAAACTTTGGGATGTTCGGGATACCCGCATTCCTGTCTGGGAAAAGTCACAGAAAAAAAAAAACAAAAAAAAACAAAAAAAAAAACGAGGCTTGTGGCAAAATGTGGAACCATTCCAGAAACGGCAAAATGCATTTTTGGAGCAAGAGAAGGATCAGGCAGGAGCCTGGGCATGGTCTCGCCCACAGTGCAGAGCCAGGGCAGCGGGGTTGCCTCCACCCCAGCAGGTCCTCACAGCAGTTGCATCCCCACCCTGGCCATCGCTGGCAGCAGCAGTGCCGGCGCCCTCCCTGGCCAGGAGAGGTGTGCCGGGCGAGAGCCATGGCAACTCTTACACAAAGTGTCAACAAAATCAGCAAAATAATGACTTTCTCATGAAGACTCCGGGGAGGCAGAAAGGCCTCAGGCCAGACCTGCCCGCTATAAAACAGGCTTTAAAATTTTTCAGCAGTGGCTGAAGCAGAGCTGAGACAAGGGCTTGCTCTGGCTCCACCACCTCCCAGCCAGGCATGGGATGGGCCAGCTGGCAGGGAAGGAGGTAGTGCCAGTCCCTGCCCAACCTAAGGATGGGAGAGGGACACCTCAGATTAATCCTGGCTTTTGTTTGGCATACATCTTGAAAAACGGTTTTCCTTTAAACAAACCTAGTGGTGTCAGAAATAAATAAATAAATAAATAAATAAATGAAAATTAATGGAAAAATTCAGCTAGAAGGCAGTTTTCTCAGATGCGTGTGAAACGTTCCTCCTTTGCAGGCTGTCACGGATAGCTCTGCACCTTCGCCATGAGCAAGGCAGCTCCTCCTGCTGGGTCACTCAGCAGGGACTCAATTACACATATGAAGCCAACCCGGCCAAAACGCAGCCCAGAAGGGGTTGACACAAAGTTGGGAACCTGCCAAGAAATTTCTAATTGAAAGTAGTTACCAAAATGTCTATCAGTGGGGTCTCTGCCTGTGAACCCCTGTCTGTAACGGTGAATTATGAGCGCGCTCTGGGTTGAAATGAGGCAGAGTAAAACTAATCATATTTTTATGAGCCCCTTTTCCTCCCACATGGGCTGAGCTTTGAGCACATGCTGTGCAGCAGAAGAGTGGCTATCTTGCCTTTTTCCTTATCCATGTCCTTCATGGAGTGACAGGTCAGACTATTGCCAGATCACGCTGCACGCTGCCGTAAATCCTGTCCCCACAGCCCCTTGGGCAGGCAGGCAGCACCAGGCTGGCAGGAGTGCAGCCACAGCACAGGGCTTTCTCCCACATCCACTGCTTTCCTCTGGCCCCAGCCATCCCCAGGGGCTGGAGGTCTGCTGGGCTGTGCCCAGGGCTGTGCTGCCGCACGGTAATGAGCCACCGAGAAGGATCCTGTCTGCTGTGGCTATCTCTGAAGGGCTGTTTCACACCTCCTCATGCACAAAGGTCACAGACCAGATGGTCTCTGTCAGCAGTCAGGTCCTAGTGCATTTTAAACTGGATTTAAGCCCTGCAGTCAAATCCACCTTCGGTTGCTCACAGGGAAGGGAAATTCATTCTTCAGGTGCCTGGGAATGCTCCCTTGCAGGGAAGGGGATGAATGCTGACGCTGAAGCAGCAATGCTATGAGCAGTCTCTGGTCCCTGGGACACACAGCAGTGCTCACCTTCCTGAGGTCTCTTCCAAAATAGTTGTGGGCAGCCGGAGGTGCACAGCTCTGGATGAGCACAGGCAGGCTGGGCACCACAGCAACACACTTCATCCTCCACCTGGCAGAGCAAGGACACCGGCAGCTCAATTGTCAAATTGCTACACCCTGGGGAGCCCAAGCCCCTGCAATGCTGCAAGAAATCCCTTGGGTACAGGCAGGCTCCCTGCTCCCCTCAGGTCACCAGGAAGCTCTGCATCCTGCAGGATGGCCCTGATGAGCTTCCAGAGCTGATCTCAGCCACTTTGTAGCCACGGGCTTGGGGGCTGCCAGTAAAAAAACACCAACCAGAATTGGCTCTGCAAGAGGATTGGTGCCAGTGGTGGCAGAAGAAGAAGAAGCCCCACAGGGAATTTGAGGAGCTCAGGCTGGCGGCTGCCTGCATGAAAAGGCCCAGAAGCTGCCTGCACGGTCGCCGTGGGTCCTCAAGGCTCAGTCCTGCCCACAAAGCCACAGCCATGCTCTGCTGCAGTGTTGCTGGGGGAAGAGTTTCGATTTTGGCCCTGAACGAGATAACTTCAAAGGGATTACTTGGGATAACTTCAAAGCCACCTCCTGTAGGATCCCCTGCCACAGAAATGGAGTGGCCATGAATTTTCAGGTGCCTGGCAGGTCTGCAAATATACCACTCAGATCAGTTGGCTGCTTTTGTCAGTGTTTATTTGATTTTTGTCTTGATATTAGGGCTCCTCACTACAAGAAGGACATCAAGGTGCTGGAGTGTGTCCAAAGAAGAGCAACAAAGGGTGAAGGGTCTGGAGAATAAGTCTTGTGAGAAGCAGCTGATGAGCTG